GAGGACTATTGGAGTAGAGCATAGGCAGCCAGTGATGATACGCATGGTTTCCTTGAGGGTCACCTCAAGCTTCCTGGCATGGGCACTGCGGCAGTTTGAAGGGGGCAGCGTACTCGGCAGCGCTGTAAACGAAGGCAAGAGCACCAGTTCGAAGGTCGGTAAGTAATTGTGATCCAGTCAATCCCGATGTGAACAGATCAATTGTATACAAACCCTTCGTCAATGTGCACAGCAGGTTACAGTAGGTTTCATCGTTAATATAAATTCACCCTCTAAGACGTGTGAGCGCGTGGCTTTTTAATATTCGACCACTGTCGATTGTAGATAAAGACGGCTTGGTAATCGTTCCTAGATCGAAGACAAAATTGGAGCAGAACAAAAGTTTTGTGAACACTTTCGCGACTCACTGATTGTGCTAGAGACACTGGAGAAATGTGCTCGCTTACTGATTGCAATTGGCTTAGACTCGGCTATTGGCAAGTTTTGTTTGTAAGGTCGCTGACGTGAAGGCTCTAAAATCGTATCGTCGCTGTCAAACCTCGACTCATTGGTTAATTATCGATCAATATTATGGGCTCTCTCCCTCCGTATAGCAATAATCAGCTAATCAGCATTTCGATTTAAGGCATTCCGAGCTATAACTTGTCTAATGTCTCAATCTCAAATTTGCATACCTCAGGCGATTATGATTGGCCAATAACGGAGCCACGTCATCGGCATTGTATCGTTAGATACAGACTCAGGTACCCTTTTCAATATGAGAGTGATTGCCCTCAACCATTAAATCGAATGGACACCACGGTCCCCAGATCTCGCCCATTGTGAATTCTTCCTGTGGGGAACCTTAAGGACAAGGTCGTCGACGCCAAAAGACGTTAATGAGCTACGGGCCAGGATTGTGGCTGCTGTAGAGAACTTGAGAGGACAAGAGAGATGTTATCAGGAAAACGTTCACCAGCAACAGGGCAGAGATTTGCTATGTTGAAGGACAGTGGGATTAACGGGGGACCTTGATATTTTTAGCAACTGAATCAACTGATAATGTACGTCCTGGTTATTGTTATTTTCAACATATTGAAAACTGTCAATTGGTGCATGTGGTACAAGGCAATTTCTTTTAAGTCGATAACATCACTTGGTGCTGTCATCCATGACGGTAAAATGGAGTTCGTGGTGTTTAGAAAAAAAGAAGGTTATATGTAACAAACGGTGGTTCCCATTTTTCCTAAATAGTTAGTCAAATAGAAATCAACAAAATAAGCCTGGTTTCTCTTTTTTGAAACACCCTGTATTGTGTATAACTATACAGTTTGCAAGATAGAGAACAGAAGAAAAAAAATTGGATATCTAAAAAATAACTATATTTTGATAATATAATATAGCCAAGGGAACGGGCTTGGCAGAATCAGCGGGGAAAGAAGACCCTGTTGAGCTTGACTCTAGTCTGACCTTGTGAATAAAAAAAAAAAAAAAAAAAAAAAAAAAAACCTGTATTATTTTGATATTTTTTAATAATTTTGATTTTTTGGGGCAACAAATTTGCTATTTTTAAAAATTAAAATTAGAATATTGTTTATTCCATAACTTGGTTAAAATGGCTTTTTACATTTTTTTTCAAAGGAATCTACGTATTTTACTACTTGACCAATTTTTTTTTTTTCTTTCATTAGAATTTAAATTAAAGGTTAATTAGAATTGGCAACTTTAAGAGATAGTTGCCATTGTAACCAAAGGCGACATACTCTTAAAATTGGTGGAAATTAATTGTACCAAGTTTAGGGCCGTCTGTTTCTTCCAAACGTCTTTCCAGACAATTTTGAAAAAAAAAACCACCGTGTTTTACGCCATTAATCGGGGGTGTTACCAGACAATATTAATAAAATTTGGATGGCTTTTTCATTATCTGATGTCCCTAAAATTGCCATCCAATATCACTTTTACAACTCATATTACAGATGAATGCTCTCAACTCGTACATACCACCCAGTATTATACAAATATTGAAGCATTCGTCAAAAGTCATACTGCTAACCAGACAAACAAGGAAACAACAGTTCTTTGCCATTCTCAGCCATTCAATGTCATGTGTTCCAATTTAATGAGTCAAGCGTAAAATGTAATTAAAACTTGGTTAAATTGCTCAGGAAAATACTAATGAAGACACTGGTTGTTACAAATTGTACAAGGATTTAAAAAAAAAAAGGATCAAAGTTGATGCCAAAGACGTTCGAAGCTTTGTTTCAATCACTAATTTACGCAGTCCATTGACTTTAAGTGGAAGTAGCTGTAGATACGAAAGCTTAAACCAACATTTTAATTTTAAAATGAAACCACAAAGGTTAACTGATAAGCTATTATCTACTCTTATTATCTCATATTATCTAATAAAATTATATGGTACTCGTGACAGATTTACCCGCGCATTCCGAAAAGAGTCTGACAAAACTGTTTGAAAAATGGCAAACGTCTGATCGACTGAACGAAATTGTGTACACACAAATCTTTAGGATTAATCAATTGTTTTATAGGCAAAGTTATACGCAATGTGGTTACTAACTTAAATTGTTTTCCTAAAATCGGATGCAGCTGCTTTTCATTTTCACTGTGTATCGTCACACAGTTTTATTTCTTGTATTAAAAAAAATAATAACTTTGAAATGATGCATAGAAAAGTAAAATAAAACCATAGAGCTACATTAAATTACTAGTCGGCACTCATGTACAAAGTTGATGCCTTCTTGGGCGCAGTCATGTTTGTGCACAAACTTAAAGACAACTCGAAATTGAGGACGTACAACTCGAAATTGTGTACATCGTTTATACAGGTTTTTGCATATCTGCATTTGTAATCTATACAAGTGCGTTATCGAAACTGATACGGCCAAAACCGCAACCCACGATCAGCAAATGAGCGGTTTTTTTTTTTTTTTTTTTAACCGTCGTGATGCGCTTTAAGTTGTTTGCAAAACGTTCTTTTTGTGTGTTGCATTTGGAGTAACACTTTCAAAATTGAATCCAGCCAATTTCATTATGCTCTTACAACTTGCGCGCGAAGGCAGAGTTAGCGCTGTATAGTCCTGTCAAGTTAAGTTAAGACCTAAAACAAATTGCAATATAAACCAATCAAACAACTTAAAAAAATACACAACATGTGAACAATCTATTTTTTTCTTTTGAGTGGAAGGTCTATGGAGTGGAAGGTTTTTTTCCCAAGCATTTTTTGCCTATATCAGCTTAATGTTTAAGATTCATGACCACATATGCTAGTGCAACAGACAACATTGTGTCGGAAACCAAAAACTTGGTTCCATATTCTACATTTGACGGGGAAAGTGTCTGTTTTAAGTCATAATTTTATTCACGACACTTAGGATAAGGCTTTGATCTGGGACCACGAATATTATTTGTAGAGGTTTATTACCACATCGCTGCCCAATTTCTTCATCTTAATTTTCAATACAAGAAATGTACTCCACTTTTCCACTCTTCTGATGAAATAACATGTATTTAGTATGTTAAATACAAATGTAGTGATATTTTCTTCGCATGATAGCATTAGAAAAATCTGTTGCAATTTGTTCTAGGTCAGCATCCGATTCAATCAAACTCTTCGTAACTTACGATGCATCGCAGCGTTGCAACGCGTCCTGCCATCTAGTTTCATGCAACGTTGTAAGTGCGACGTATGTGTATTTATAGCACCACTCGGCGACAGTTTTATGTATTTAGTCAGCGCACAGTGAATAATCAACAAGGAGTCGTCGGATCTCGAAATTTGTTAAAACGTGAATCAAAATGGCGGTCTTGCTATGCAATTTTGAAGGAAAACAAGCTCTCAGTAGACTGTGTAGCTGCTTGAAATTTCAACTGCAACATTTCAGTCTAATTCATAATTATTCACTGAATTTTCCATTTACAACTTTAAACACATTGCTTCGGTATTATAATCTCGCTTATGTAATGTTTATGGCAATAAACTCACTAAGAAAGTGTCAAGGAACTTACACGCGTTCATCAGAACTTTCGCGTCGCGAGTGGCAAGTGGCAACGCGTCGCAGCACTTCGTGAAATCGGGTGCAGGCCCTGTTTGGTTTTAATTTAACCGGACTACTAGTAATTCAATATATCTCTATGGATCAAACCATCACAGTTACTTTCATCTGCTATAAAGATGCACATTTGAAAGTGCAGTAACTAGAAACCTGCAATTTCGATAGGGTGAAATCACTGTACATATATAATTTCTTGTTCTTGAATTTATGACCACAATACGCCTCTGGAGCACTTAACAACTTAGCTGGGGACCAAACTAATATTGGTTAGAGAGAAAAGAATACAGTTTAGGTTATATAAAGCAAACTCTATTGGATAAGTGGATTGATTGCAACAATTAAAACATAATGAAAGGACGGTCAATGAATCATGTTATATACAAAATCGATTAAGATAATTGCCCTACACATCTTCGGGTCCTCATTCATCCTCCATCAGGTTGAAGTAACTCCATTGGTGCAGTTCATCGGCTAACCAACGTCTCAGTAGCGAACATCAGACACAGATTCATATATCTGGTTGTTAGTCCGGTCAGTTTAAGTTAAGACCCAGAACAAATTGCAATAGAAACCATTCAAAAGAGTCAAACGCGACAAACAAGGTGTGAAAAATCTAATTTTTTCTTTGTATTGGAAGGGAGTTTTGGAAGGGTGTTTTTGCAAGCATTTTTGGGGGTTAAGATTCAAATAAAGGGCATTTCGAGTGCGTTCGAGTACTCCCCCAGCGTACTCGCGCCTGGCTCCTCGCGTGATGACAGACATGCGCAGTGGAGCTCAAGAAACGAACGGTTTCGAATAAAGTTTCGTGCGAGAGCTGGAAACATTGGCGTCGCCAGAATTTTATCTTGGGGGGGGGGCAAAACATGTTTTCCGAAAGAAAAAAAAAATCCTGCTTTTCTCAACATTTTCTCGATTTATCAGTTTTAAAGGGGGGTAGGGACATTTTGCCCCCCCCCCCCATTAAATTTACAACAATATGACTTCTCACCTCTTATTTTTTGTCTTTTTTTTGGGGGGGAGGGGGATTTTGCAACCTGCTTCATATATCATCTCAACAAAGGTCATTTATTGCAAAAATGATAATAAGACATGAATCTGGGACTGAGAAATATTTCAAATCTTGACTTTTTATAGACTTTGTTACAAAAGTGCGGAAGTGGAACAATAATTCGTAGCCGTAGCTCCGTGCATAGCCGTGGAAGCCCGTTTCGGACACGGCTTTATGGGATACTTAAACCCAAGTGACTTGGGCCAGGCTCGAGAAGATACGTGAGAGGTAAATGAACGCTGTCGTGCTTGCACGAGTAAGTGCAGGGGATGTAAAAGTGTTCATTCGCTTTGAACGTACGCAGGACGGGCATTTACGTCTCAGCCAAAGAAAAGGTTTGCTCATCCACCCACAGTTACAACCCATCGCTACCGTCTTCACTTTTATTATTCAATTTTTCAATTTTGTATTAATCATGATAACAATGCAAGAGGATTCCAACTCGTTGAGCAGTACAAAATAGCAAAAGAGGATCTCTTATAATGAAAGCTGTCTGGCACAATGCCTGCTGAATGCCGGAATCTCTCTATCGAAGCAATTTGGCAAACACATGTACATTAATTGTACATGATGTGTTTTGAAAATAATCTAGTCGGTAAAGCAAACAGAATGCGCACATAATAGTCTAGTGCGGGAGTCCTCTCAGCATTTAAGCAAGTTTTTGCAAGACATTTACATTTTTATTTGTAATTATTTAAACACGTGATATAATTGATAACAAGTCTTTTATTTTGTTTAAGTTTTTTTTATTTATCGATGATTAAACAAATACAATTACGACGATAGAGCTCCAAAGAAACAGAGATTTGCTTGTGTTTTTAATTTGATTGATAGAAAAAAAATGGTTGACAAACTTTGCCGAAAGATTTCAACATAAATTTGAGTTGAGCACTACAGTGTGTGTACTATACACGTTACATGTACAACATTTCCAATGCATTTCTTTATCACGTCATATGTCACCTATAGGTTCAACACCTACAATTTCACTTTATTGTTCCCTATCCTGTCACTTAGAATGTTCTTTTGTTCTTTTGTATCGCTCAACGAGTTTGACTCAATACGATATCAGGAATGTGTTCACAGCAATGAGAACTTCGGAGGCAATTGAATAAATGACTTTGAATAATGTATGTACGTCCTGGATTTTGTTATGTTCAACATGCTAACTACTGTCAATTTGTCTAATGGTGCATGTGTGCTCCAAGGCCATTTCTGGCATGCCAGATACATCACTTAGTAAAAAGACGGTAAATGACATGGTTATGTAACAGGTTGTGGTTTCCATTTTCCTAAATAAATAGTCATACTCGAGAAATCATCAAAATAAGCTCCATTTCTTTTCTTTTTTTACAAACACCCTGTATAAGCGAATGTTTTAGGATTCATGACCAGTTGCGAGTGCAAGCAGACGACATTGCGTCGGAAAATTAAAAAAAAAAAAAAAAAAAAAGTTTAGACGTGTACTGGGCTAAGGTTGTGTTGCTTACAGTACAAACGTACTGTTAGTACTTGAAAATATGAAACAAAACATCTCAAAACACTTTGATCACAATTATAACAAAAATGTCTTTCAGATTGATGAGAAACACATTTTTTATAAGTACATTTTGTAATTTAAACAGCAAAATTTTGAAGATCCTGTTCGAGGTATGAAAATTGATTGGGTCATCTGCTTGTACCCGTCAAGAGTTAAATGCACTAGGCCTACTCAAGAAAAGCATATACTGGAGTCTCGACGAAATGGTTCTTCGGATCAGACCGCAAGTTATTACTTAAAAAAATATTTCAAAGGCACGGTCCACACCCCCCCCGGCACGTTTTCAAAAATAATCAAAATTTTCAAAATAATTTCTTTTCTCCAAAGCCCAGGCCCAGAATTCAGCTTAATTTTCACTGCAAGTTGTAATCCAGTTTATTTGTCATCACAGCGGTTTTTTTTTAGTATAAATTTATTCTTTAAAATGTATAGGTTGCTTTTACGTTATGCCAACGACCTAAATTCATCACAAAACGATCACATGAATCTGGTATTTTGGATGTTTTCCGTAATAATTAAAATCGGACTCTGGCCTATTGGCGTAGACACTTAAATTTTAACTTTAAATGGATCTCTTCATGTATGGATTTTCCCTGAAACAAATGGTTAATTTGAGCACAACGAGATTTATTTGAAACCAATAAATAGTTGGGACGGGAAAATATAATCAAATTTCTTTTTTTTTTTCCAAGGAAATATCCTGTAGTATTTGATAACAAGTGTTAAATTTAATAGACCGGAGACGTAATGACGTAATGGCTTGTTTTACATGTGCGCTTTCCTTATGGGAGCGAAGTTGGGTTGCCAGATAAAGTGGGGTCCGTCTACTACAAAGTATGACGTCACTACGTCTCAGGCCTTATTGTTAGACAAAGAAAGTCGTCTGCTGTGGTCAGTCGTGTTTCGCGAAGTTGTCATACGTGAATGCGAACGGATATTCTGACAGGTAAGCAAGGCAACAAAAACATGACGCCCTCCATATGACTGTTAACGGATGATGAAACATTAGAATCGAAAAAGTGAAGGAAAAAAAAACGAAAACAACTCCACTCCTTTGATGAAATTAGATTCCTTAGCGTGATAGCATGAAAATAAATTCTATTTGCAATTTGTTCTAGGTCATATCAAAAGTTCAATTTACCGGACTGTGTAGCGCTACACGTTGAACCGAGGCCTCGAGGACGTACAATGTACTTGTGAAGGTAAAATTTAACGTGCTCTGCCATTCGTCCGACGAACCACGCAACTGAAGGTACAGACGATCTTGCGGCAACGCCTTTTCTGAAGCGTCATAATTTTCTCCTTATTAGCTTTCACTGCACGAAAGAAAAAAAAAACACAAGCAGATTAACAGATGATGATCTGTAATTACCTTTTAATATTATATACAACCCTTGACAAAGTTGGCAAAATATCTTCGAAACATGTTCTATCTGTCCCGCCTTAAGACGAAGTCTTATACAGAGAAATAAGGAAGCCAAGATGGCTTCCACCTGTCTGCCATTCACAGCATTGCAGAGTTTGTGCCCGTGTTCTGATGTCTGCTCTGCAGACCATCTGTGTTCTCCGCCTTAACTATTCATTTCTCTTGAATGGCATAAAGGTACGTTGAGGAACAGGTACGTCGAGGAACAGGACATTGAAAATGTGAACCCAATATTCAGATTCAAGTTCAATAAATGTAAATGCATTTTTACCCTAACCTATTCCATTTACCCTAAATTTACAAATGTTAAACGAAGTCAATAAATCGTCTGTAAACATTTTAAAATTTTAACTCATGTCTGTAAATCTTAAGAAAACGTCGCAGAGATGAGTGGTATGCAGGAAAAGCATCTACGATATGACATTTTTGACAAAACACCACTGTATATTACACTAAATTGCAGCATGAAGGTGAAGACTCCACAGTCGCGCATTTAAGCTTGAATACAAAAAGTGTTCATGCGTTTTGAACGATTACTCATATAGTAATGCTATATGCATATAGCAAGAAACTAGCACGAAGATACCGCTTAATCCCCGACATACATGTATATAATCCTTGTGGTAATCGAGGAATTGGGTTGTCAAGTTCCTAGCATCAAGCTGTACCTGAAGTTTGGCTATGGAATCGTGTTATGTTCTGAACGTCGTGCATGTTTCCAGTCAAACCAAAATCAAAAAAGACGTAACACTACACAGGAGACGTTTTGTCACCGTCTTTGCAAATATCAACAAAAAAATACGTAACGCCGGGTGGTTTACATTTGTGTCACCTCAGTGGCTGTCTTTACAAATGCTAACAAACGACGTAACAATAGGGTACGTTCGTGTTATCTCAGTCATTTTTTTAAATAAGTGACTCTCCTTTTGAATATATTTCGCCGAATTTTCAAAACAGACGCTCAAAAATAAATAATAATAATTCATTTCGGCTCAAAAACAATACCAGCAAAAAAAGTCCCTTTTGGGGTTAGGAACATCAAGCGTATTTGGTGTGATGTTTGATTTCTTAATAATCCCCGAATTGTTTAAAGAATATAACAAAATTGCATATTGGAGATGGCATTCAACCATAAGCCAACCGACTATCAGTCCTTTCCTTTTCTCAGAGTAAGTGTATAGCAACGCCCTCCCAACTTCTTTTTGTTGTCATCGTTCTGGTTGAGTGGAGTCTAGCTAGGGTGGAGCAGTAATTGTTAAGGTCAACCAAGAAGTCGTTCAATGCACGAAGGAATGGAGCAATCTTTTTGTCGGTTTCCCTGTGGCCGTTCTGGTTGGGCGGAGTTGAGGGAGGATTCAGTAAATACTTGTATCCCATTGGCTCACATAAACGTACCAACGTAGGTTCGTTCAAAACGCATGAACGCTAGTAAAACCATACATGGTACGTGACCTTTAACTGATGTTAAAGGTCACGTAGAGCTGCCGTGATGCATCAATGACTCAACTATGAAAATCATTTTTTGGATCTTACACCGTTTGGAAAATACCACATACATACATGTGTACGAGTATTTATTCATACGTAAGGACAGACAGCGATTGCGTGGTCTCTTTCCTGAACCTTGCATTATAAGTCATGTCACGTCGCTGCTTTTTATTAAAATATATTTTACGACAAAATAGGTTTTAGCAACTGCGCAGTTATGAAAGTTATAAATTCGAGTTAATAGCCTTAATGTGCCTGTAATTTGAAGATAAATTTCAATTTTACAGATAAGTTATCATGTCTTTTCGAACATTTTTAATTGACACGTGTAGTCTAGCACATGATTCATGATTGTAAGGTTGTGGGTTCGAGCCCCGCCGTGACAATTTCACAAGTTTTCATACTTAAGATATAGATCATTTTGTTCGTCGTGAAATGATTGAGTGATTTTGACTACCGTATCAATCCAACTGTGAGGAAACACATCAAAATCATTCTTTTTTGGGGGGGGGATGTAATGACAACTGCGCATGCGTATTTGTCTACACAAAGCAATGCAAACTCATTTTGTTAGCATTAGCGATTGACCCTTTTTTTCTAAATAAAATAAACCTGTTAATTTACCGCTGAAGGGTGTCCTTTCAGATGATGACGTCGTGCTGCCTTTTTTATGGGCCCTTTATTCTTTTCTAAACACCTCCATAATTAATTTGCTTGTAGGAAACAAAACTTCCGCTCTACTGGAAGTGAAGGTCTAAACAGTCTGTGCCCGGGAATAACAATTGTTGCCCGAGGCATCATTTACACCCTCACGCAAAAACAAACACGATACTATACTTAGCTCTCAAGATAGAGCTGATACCATTTTCTAATATTTTACCCTTAAACTCCTTGCAATTCAATACCTGATGGCGTCATGATATGACGACAGATTCCCGTCGTTTGTTAAAAAAAAAAACTCGGTTCGTTTTTATTTCGAGGGTATTTTGTCTGCAACTTTGACCTCTCGGGTGAACCGGAAGTAAAGGTCAAAGCGAGTTCACGTACACGACCTAAAAAAAATGTTAATCAATTATGAGAACATGGGTTGACTATTTTGTTCGAGCTATAAAATGAAAGACTAATATTTAGTCAACGAAAATCGTTTGTAATTTGACACCCCATGATGTCATAGTAATTTGCACCACTCGGGATGAGGGTCGACATTAAAAGTTACAGTGCAATATCATAAGCCTTTAACCGTTTTAGGAGGAAACCCACGGAGAAGTATTGTTAGCGACAAACTAGTTTGTGACATTTCAAACATGCAGGTATGACAAAACACAACACAAAAATAAAGATGGCGTCACGTCGATGTACTGTAAACACGCAATACCGTGCTGAATCGCACAGCGCCAATTGTAAACCGCGTAAAACGTGTGGGAAAATCGTAATTTCTATCCCAAGAAGAACTGTTCAAAATTACCTCCCCCCCCCCCAAAAAAAAAGGCCATTCGAATTGAGAGAAGTCTGCTTTAGGTTGAAAAGGTCATTTGTTGAATAATATTAAAAAAAAAAACCGGTCTCGACTCTTAATTTGATCGCAACTAAACAGGGGCTAGGCTACACGATCGCCATGCTTTATCCTGATGTGTAGACTCCTAAAAAGCACATTACTTGTGCAAGGAGAATAATAAATACATAATAAAATACATTGCAGTATAGTTACCTCCAGCGGGTCTGTGCCTGCGCAGCCCCCTTGCTCACGCTGTGTAGATTTGGATATTCCGCCATTAACGTTTAACAAATTTTCGGCCATCCGCAACGTGACAAAACACGGACTCGGCAAGTTGAAGGCACCAAATGTCCGTCCTTTTATTATTACATGCAACAAGACCGAATCCATATGCCGACCACACGCCTCTTGATCACATACAAACTAAGCTTGTTGATGTGATGTGATGTGATGTGATGTGATGTGATGTGATGTAATGGCACGTTTGGCATCTCAAGTGCCCTTTGTGCCAAACTTAGCTTGGGCCAGGTTTTTATACAGTCAATAATAGGTTTGGTTACATAATCAATTCCATGGGATAATCGAATTTGAAAGTACTGGCCCATAATGACGTAACCAAACAAAATAACCAGGTGCATGACAGCGGGCGTATTCGAAACCATTATATCGAACGCCCAATGGTGAAGGGGCTTATAGATTCAAATTTGAAAAAATCGTGACGGAGTGGTCCAAACTTGGCAGATATAGTATTCTTATAGCGCTAGCAGATAGATTCATGATAGCCCTAGCAGTGGCGTAGCAAGGTCATTCTTATTGGGGAAGGAATAAGCTTGAGTTTTTTTTACCGGTCACCTGGCCTCCGGAAAATCAAGAAGTGCATTGTGGTTGCCATATTTATGGTGTAAATAGAGGATCGTCGAATAATTGACCTACCGCGGCAGCATCCTGTCGACGTTAACTTGTGAAATACGAAAAGCACCAAGTCTAAGACAAACGATCTTTATTACCATACATGGTTGCGCAACGGGCGTGGCTAACTCGCAAAACGAGACAGATAGATATAGGTCAATTAAGGACAGGAGTAGTCAAATAAAGGATGACCTCGAATATTGATAGATAATGGCACCTCATAAACCCCATATGCTAAGTGTGTGCGTGTACAACCACTGCCTTGTGGGGTACCGGAACAATGGGAGGTACCCCACAAGGAATGCCCACCGACTTTTTGGTACCCCACAAGTTTTTCACGAAATAGATATATGGATTTTACTCAAAATCTAGGAATTTCCAAGGTGGTTACTGTGTCGCAAATGGATGAGTTTTAGAAAAGGGATATTAAGTCCGAATTTCAGCCCAGGAAATTATCTTTGGTTAAAATAAGAGCATTTTTACATAAGTGTGCGACGTTGCAATTAGGGGCAGGACATTAAGAGAAAACAGTTATGAGAAATATTAAACCCATTATGTAGCACCTTATAAGGGTTTACAAGGGTTTACGATCATGGGCACTACAAGACAAAAGGGGGTACTGTAATGTGGCACAATTGCCGACATTCGCGCGAAATTCCTATAAAAAAAGGGCACTCGTGTGCAAATCAAGGCACTTACGTACACAAAAAAAGCACTCTATACAAAATATTGGGGAACCGCTGGTAAAAAAAAAAAGGTACTTGTGTACAAAATGCCACTCTTTACAAATAGAGGGGGTGGGGAGGTGGTAATTCTTCGCTGCTGGCTACACAACTGCGTAGAGAAACAAATTAAAAGAGGTGACACTTGAAATTATTTTAAGAGGGGTTCCTAATTTGCATTTGTTTTTTTGTTTTTTTTTTATGGGGGGGGGGGACCAATGTAGTTTTATTATGGTCAATCAGGTTTGCCAAGAATATGCTTTTCTAATATGGGGAAAGGGTAAATGTGCGCAATTCTAAGGTATTTTATATAGGCATTTATGTAGGCATTTTGGAGCTTTCATTATGTCCTCATAATTATCCAGTCATCCACTCACTTATATGCTTTCGAAACTGGGGTCTTAAAGTAGAATCCTAAAAAATTAAACTAACAATAAACAACAAGCCATAGTCCCCTGATGATGGTGCACCGCACCGAAAGCTCGGGAGTAATTTTCCGGTGAGCACTGTAATATGTTTTTGTTTACTTCTTGTCGTATATGCCCCACAATGCTACGCAGCATCTCCACTTTATATATTTTAGTTTATTTTTAGGATTCTACTTTACAGACCCCAGTTTCGAAAGCATAATTATAAGTGTGGATGACTGAATAATTGTGAGGACATTACAAGTGGCACAGATTCAGTGGCACAGGGGGAGTGGACAGGGCCTAACAAGGTGTGGGGGAAGTACACGACCTACTATTCATCCACTGGTCTAAAAATGACACAGTCTGATTCTGTTTGAGAAAATGTGCTATTTAGTTATTACTCAAAACAAAGGAAAACACTGAAAATACACTTTTTCAGATTTTTTTTCAAACCTTTAATAACCTTTTAATCTTTGTAAATCAATAAAATTAGTCTTCGAAATTCAATATAAAATCAACCGTGAGACCCCGAACTTGAATTTTGTGGCAATCGAGATGATAATACATCATCTTCATCTTATGTCCTGGGCGTCAAATCACGTGACCCTTCCTTCTGTTTGAAACTGTAAGTGCCTAATCATAAGAAAGTGGAAAATGATAGAACTTGCTTTCAACAATGTAAGTCACTGTCAAAGTTGCACTTAAAACGAAGAAATTACCGATGACGTCATAAATCATTACAGCGCCCTCTAGCAGCAGGTTGAAAAATGATTAAATGAAAATCTGTTGATGGGTGTGTTTATAATGGATGTATAAAGTTATTCTGAATTCATGCGATCTTTCAAATGTTGGTAAACATAAACCTAATGCTTTACTGAATTTGGTAGATTGGTCTTAATACTGCAATGATGATAAGGTAAGTTGTTGCATAGCAACATGTGGCATGTGAGTATGTGTGGTTCTGAAAAGAACCGGAGGGTACTCAACGGTTTTCGGACAGTATGCTCTGCCCGTCGTCAGGAGACCATGGTGCTACCACAACAACGTATGTTATTATTATCACCCTTCACCATGCAAACCTTCAAATCTCATCCAATACTGCAATGGTCGTGAACACAAACATAACTTTGTGTCTATGAAAATGTGTGTTTTAATTTTTGTTGGCCATCAAACCAAATGATAGCCCAACACCGTGTGGTTGTTAGTACAACCTATCTAGTTGAAATCTGTGTTTCCCTAATTAAAATGTACTTCTGTGAAAAATCATCATAAATCTGTGTTATCATGTGGGAGTTTCAGTGTTCCATTATCTCATGGTCACATACGCTTCCGTACTGGTAAGATAAAAGTAAATAGAACATTTCTTAAAACTTGTTTATGAATTGTTAATTTTTTTTTGCTGATTGATACCCATTTCTTTTGTAGTTGTTGTTGTTGTTAATAGCCAGTGTAGTATAATTATTTTTCGTGTAAATCAGTTTTTATGGAATAAACTATATCAAGGAAACATCTCATACGCATGGTACATTGTATTTATAATATATATACACCATTGTTGATTAAAAGGTTATCAATTTAAAATATGCTACTCTAACCTGTAAATACTCTTAAAAGTATTACTCTTAAAAGAATTACTCTTAAAAGCTCTTATGTCTTCTGCTTCTGCTGCTGTATACTATGCAAGCACCGCCAGATGGTGGTTATAACACATAGGTCAAGGTCTGAAGGCATGCACCGGTACACAATTTCACAAATGCAATATTTCATTTAGTAGTGTGTTTAGGATATTTTAATTTTTAATTTGGGTTCTGCATTTTGGTATTTGCTCCAATATCACTTCGGATTGTGGAAGGTACATCCAAATGCCTTAAATGACAAATATAGGAACACCTTGACAACAGACACAGCCAATAGCTGTAAACACCTATCACTATGGGCACAGTCGTACTCTCTGTCTTCAGCACAATTTTAACTTATATGTCACTAAAGCGTTCAAAACTGCCCTTCTTTGTTACTCCCTGTAGCATCAGAAGCTAATGTTAACAAGAGATTTTCCATTCTAGTAAGAAAATACTCACCTATGTTTACCTATATTTGCATATCAGCGCACATGCACACAAACCTTCACTGAAAGAATATTGCTCCCAAGTCTTACTCTCCGCTCCCACTACATGTCCCATAGCTATCCCTAACAGTCCTTAATCCTCCAATTTTCATATGATTTTGCCTAGGGAGTTAGGGTTATTAAATAGCGCTTTAACACATTTGTTTTGTTTGTTTGTTTTTCAAAATTTGGAGGGATGGTAAACAGAGGCGATGTTTTCTTAGTGCTCTGAGTGCTACAATTATATCACAACTCTGTGTATCAAATGCAGGAATTCCTGTCGCATTGAAGCTGAGGGATTCTTCTAGACCTGAGGACCATAGGATGAGTATGAATTTGGCAAAAGGCTGGAATTCAAAGCTGGTAGCTCGGAAGAGATTCAAATACATGCAAGTAGAATTCTGAGGATGTTGAGGACCTTGATCTATCTGAATACTGATGGGAGAAGAAATCATTCTGTTGAAGTGATTTCCTTCACACCTGGATGGAGTGTTGTTCAATACCTTCTTTCTGGCAAGGTGCAATGTTAGAAGGAAGATGAAGTATGAAAATAACCAACTGGGTGGCTCTGACGTGGCCAGATAGGGAGAAAGAGTGAGTTCCCCCAGACGATACATGTAGTACACTACATTTGAACTGTGGACAAGCTTGATTGGAACTCTGGATAAGAGCAAATGCAATTAAGGCTTTGAGCACTGACAAAAGCTCTAGTTGAAGGGCATGTACCGTGATTTTCAGAATATCGGCTGCGCGGAGTATAAGTCACAGCATGCAAAAATCTGCAAAATAAGATTTGAAGTCGGCGTATGTTGTATTTTTATTTATTTTTTTCTCCTCAGGGGAAACTTACTTATTCAGAAGAAACGTTTCTCTTGCGTTTTACAATAAGTATAAACAAATAATATATTAATCATTACATAAAAGAGAGAATGGATCCCATTTCGCATTAAATTTAGCAAGATCACCATTTGTAGTAAATATAAATTTTTCCAATACATAGTATCGTTTTAGCTCATTCTTAAATACTAAAAGAGACGGTTTACTGCCATTCATCTTCATTTTGTAAATGTGGTAACGGCATAAGGAGAAGACTTAAATTAAGGGCGCTCCAGTTTTTGTTAAGTATGCCAAATAAAATCATCTCGTAATCTACGAACACATTAATATTCAAAGTCTCCTTAATCCAATCACTAATTTGAGTCCAGAACGATAAAGAAATCTCGCAAGTGCAAAATAAGTGAATCAGAGTTTCCTTTTCTACATGTGACAAGAAGGAACACAGGTCGTTCTCCCCTTTACCAATCTTTACCAAATAAGAATTGACGCCCAGGATTCTATTAACCAATCTGTATTGAAACCATCGTAATTTTGTATCACAAGTAATCGTAAAGGGCATACTGCAGAAAACCAACCACTTAGTGGCAGGGAAATTGATACCCAATTTTGTTTCCAATTTGTCAATGAACTTACTCACAACCTTTTTCACTGAAGTAAAAATATGATAAATACGGGTAGAACCTTTTTTATCTGACAAAAGTATCTCAAAATTAAATGGGATAAAAGGAAAGCAAATATTTGACTGAACCCCTTTAAGTAAATCACGAAAAGAATTTTTGACGGCCCTTGACAACTCCTCTCCATACTCTAAAAAGTTAGTCCTAATACTGAATTTTAACATAAAGCGTTCCAAGCTCAAAAAAGCACCTTATCGGTCAAGTAGGTCAAACACAAAGTTAGCCCCTTTGTTTGCCCAGTGTTTGTAAAAAATGCACTTGTTCCCAATCGTAATTTTGTGATTAACTGGCACATGGCATTGCACAAAAGAACTCCAAGCATTGAGAACGTCAATCCAAAACTGGTTTGGGTGAGCTGTCCTCTACGGAAGCTTGAATTGCCTTCCGCGATACCGTGATAATTTATCACAGAAATCCGAAATCCAAAGATAAATCCTTTCTCGATACTGCGTTACTGTGATAATTTATCGCAGAAATCCGGAATTCAAAGATAAATCCTTCCTCGATACCACGTTACCGTGATATTTTATCACAGAAATCCGGAATTCAAAGATAAATCCTTCCTCGATACCGCGTTACTGTGATAATCTATCACAGAAATCCAGAATTCAAAGATACGTATTCCTCGATACCGCGTTACCGTGATAATTTATCCCAGAAATCCGGAATTCAAAGACAAATCGGTAACGAGGAAGGAACTATCTTTGAATTCTGGATTTCTGTGATAAATTATCGCAGTAACGCGGTATCAAAGAAGGAATTATCTCTGAATAAAGGATTTCTGTGATAAATTATCACGGAAACGCGGTATCGAGGAATACGTATCTTTGAATTCAGGATTTTGTGATAAATTATCATGGTAACGCGGTATCGAGGAATACGTATCTTTGAATTCTGGATTTCTGTGATAAATTATCACAGTAACGCGGTATCGAGGAAGGATTTACCTTTGAATTCCGGATTTTTGTGATAAAATATCATGGTAACGCGGTATCGCGGAAGGCAATTCAAGCTTCCCTCTTAAGTGAATGTACAATACTTAGAATGACCGCCTTCCACAAAAAGCACATTCTCAATTTCAGTAATCTTATAAAACAAATTGGGCCAACCTGAGGCCTTAGTGTTCAATAATCTACGGATCCAAGTACACTTAAGAGCACTGATGTAGGATCGCAAATCAATCATCTTAACTCCCCCATGACTGTAATTTTGAATCATCTGATTCCTAGCAACTCTATCGCCACCTTTCCAGATAAATTTATACAACATACCATTTAAATTCTGAATTTAAAACAAAGGTGGGTCAGGGAGTGACAAAATAGAAAAGTAAATTTGGATAAAATAAGCGACTTCACTATGGTGACACGGCAAAGAACGGTTAAATTTCTTCTAGACCATAGTCTGTTCCCAGTTCTAAAAATAAACATGACGACATTGATGGCCCTTTTTCAAAGCTCGGCTTTGTTTCCGATTTCGCTTTATCGCTTGTAGCTTTTAATATTCTGAACAAATTTTTAAATAAATCACTTGCTTCGTAATATCATGCAGTTATGATAATACAGTTTAATGTTTCTGTAAGATAACATTGACTTACGTTGATCTCGAATCTTCAAAGTTAGGCACCCAAATAGCACTGTTAGCAGGCGGAGCCGAATGAAGACCGAGTTTTGGAAAATCTCGGTAACATTCGTCAAATTCAAAATTGTACATGATGCAGCAAAAAATTCGCCCATACGATCCGAGTATATTTGATGCACAAAATCGTCGTTGAATTTCAAGTTTTCTAGATGAAAGCAATGAATTTTAATTATCAACTCATTTAATAGAAAATTAACAAGCAATTAGCAGTAAATTAAACCTATATTATATACTCGGAAATACTCAGGCGCTATCCTATTGTCAACGAATGACTTCGGCAAACTTCGGAAATTTTCGGAAAAAGGAGGAATTCCTCCCGTTTTAGTCACGTGACGTAAATTGTAATACAATGTATTACCGGAGGCTACCGGACCTAAGTTTCATCAGGAATAGTCAGAATCTTTTGGTCTGGGAACCAGACTATTCTAGACAACTGTTCAATTAAAGTACAAGTAGAATCAAAAACTCTGTTATAATTCACAGTCGTCATATTATCAAGGTTGGTGGTAAAATCAATACCAAGTGCCCTACAACAATCTTGAGGACCAACCCACTTCACATTAATATGATCACATAGACCTTTCTGTCGACCCTTATTACCACCAATCCACACCGCATTGGTTTTTTCAATATTTACTTTAAGACCAGAAATGCTAGCAAAATCGCCCAAAATCTTGAAGGCTCTATCAAAAGAACGCTCTGAACCGTCTAAAAATAATACTGTATCATCAGCATACTGAGAAAGTCTATATTCTCTGCCATCTACCTGAATTCCCCTTCAAATCCTATCACAACGAACCATCATGCCCAAAAGAAACAAATACGGGCTCAAACCATCACCTTGTCGACAGCCACGCCCTATTTTAAAAGATTCCGATAAGAATCCATTTTCTAACACCGAAGCTGTCGCTCCACTTTAAAAAAAAACGAAACCATTTCTGTATAGAAGGATCAACATTAAACAGGTCGGCGTATTAGCCACACCGGCGTATTAGCCACACCAACCGCAGCGGTTTCAATTTTGTAAGGCCTCCAAATTCTGTGAAGTGAAAAGGCTCCATGTACGCTATGAAAGCTAAAAAAAAAAGGGCCACACAAGTTATATCAAAACATTTACAGTTGATACTTGTTTTAAAAAAAACTATGGTAATTGATGATAACAAACAAAAATTGCTGGCGGCTGGCCCAGCTGGTCCCCGGCCTAAAAGTAAGCGCATGGCCCGGCAGTGCGTGTGCCGGCCAATGACAACATTTTCCCACAGCACTCGGAGTATGCAACCCACCGTGTGTTGTCTGACTGGAGTGCTACAAATCTTGCTTTGTGACAACAGATGCTGATTTGTTTTGTCCTAAGAATAAATAGGTCTTTTTTTTACAACAAAACTTATCAAATTGTTGTGATTACTAACGAGTAGTAACGTCAAAAAATCAAGTTCTTGATCGTACTTTCTTTGAAAACTGTCAACATGAGACATGCATTTTTATGGTGAATCCATTAATTTTGTAAGGGGTTAAATGTTAGCCCCTGTTTTGCGTTTTACATTGTTCCTTGAATACATTTTCAGAAAAAAATTATATTGTGACGTTGAACAACTGATTGTTTGAATAAAGAAATGTTCCGGACTCCACAAAAAGTATTAGTTTTCTTTTATTTTGTTGAAACAGCAGAAATATTGGTATTTATTGTTCCCAGTTTAAAGTACACCCCTTTATGACTTTGTGGTACCTCAAGTCCGGTAACTATTGGTAATTCATTTCAGCAACCGATTTTTTCCTATAGTACATGAAATACACATTCTTCAAGGCTCAGCATATAAGTCGCCATGTGTATAAGCCGCAGTAAACATTTTCATGCGCAAAATCAACATATAAGCCGCGGCTTATATTCCGAAAATTACGGTAACCGGCTCTCTCTGGCCAAGTGCTAGGTACTGAATGACCATCCAGATGGACTCGCCAACCCTTTCCAAGGCATCCATTGTGATGGTAGAAGATGCAGTTACATTGTCCTGAAAAGGCCATCAATGCAGTAGGTCTTAGCTTAGATGGGTAACTGGAATCCCTTTGGAAATGGCTCTTGGCATAGATGGGAAATGGCACAGGAAAGGCTGCATAGAGCACCTGTGTGGCATGCACCAGGGAACTAGGTCTGTTGTCAAGATGCCAGAAGGTTCTGATGCCATCACATTGTGTCTGACGTTCCCCAGTAATGTGGAAAAGTTAAAAAATGTTTCAAGGAAAGTCAGCTGTCGTTGAAGGAGCTCGATACTGAAGATGAAAAACAACATCAAGTGCGAGTTAGGCAAACTGTAAAAGGCTACACTGGAGATAGGGTCTGTTATAGCCTATCATCTAGATACAAGAGCTAGGTGTTTAGCTACAGTGTGGAGTGTCATGGCCTAGCGGTTAAGAACACTGGACTCATGTTCTGGTGTTTCAGAGGCAACAGTGACGTGGGTTCGAGCCCGCCGGCGGACACTTGTGCTCTTAAGCAAGGCACTTAACCATTATTGCTTCGTCCTTCGGATGGGACGTTAAGCCGTAGGTCCCGTGTGTTGTATAAATGCACGTAAAAGAACCCAATAAACACTTATCGCTAAGAGAAGGGGTTTGCCCTGGTGTTTCTGGTCTCCTGTATAAGCTCCCACGCGGAGTATTTAGGAGAAGAACCAACCAAGAACCAAGAACCAAGTATGCAGAACTCTAACCTCTGATGATCCCCGTATATGGGCACAAGGAAATTAGTATCCCATTGATTGATGGAACTAGCAAACCAACCTGTCTTCAGAGACTGGAGTGCTTTGCTTCATGTAATAGGTTGATAATGGGCCGCCACAATATCACACTTCTACCAACTGAGTAAAAGGCTGAAGTATGGCCGAGACTGGATCCAGTTGGAGGTATCATGACATAGTTCATTCCCTTAAGGAAAGATATCCCTCTCTAAGGCAGCAAACGAATGTATGTTGTAACAGAAGTTCGTGGTCATGGACAACCGTGATGGATAAAACTTCCAGACACTACCTCAAAGAAACTGTCTAAAGAACCCCTTATGTATGAAGTTACATAAACCCACCTCTGACTGGACTCTGTAGGACAAATACCTGTAAGACTCGAAGCAGTGGGAAGATGTCAAAATTCTGCTGTATGCTGAGGATTAAGAAGACCGGTCTACATAACTCCTTGGCTGAAGAAATTAATCTCAGTCAGTTGATGCATGCTGGTTGGAGACAGACAAAGAAGAAGTACTTGTAGGCTGAGCACAGATGAGGATTAACTTATCTCAGAGTATGGAATCCTCAATCAATCAATCAATTCGACATTTATTTTCACATTGACATCCTCGATAACAATTCAGACAAAACAGTATATATATGTATAAACAAAACATTCTTCACAGACAGTATGTAATTAAGTGTAAATATTAAATGATGTCAACATAAAAGAAAAACGTGAAGCACTGCTTTTGTACCTTTCCCTGGGACAGGACAAAACTTAATCAACTACACACAGACTAAGACAGGACAATAGGTTTAAGAGTGAGGCCCGGTACAATATATAAAATAACGACTAAGCAAAGCAGAGACAATTTTTTTTAAGTTAAGTATAAGTATAAGTATTGATGATCGAATTTTTCATTTTGTTTTGCAAATGAAACCACGGTAGTACACTCTTTTAAACCATGTCGAGTTCATTCCAGTATATGACACCACGTTGAAATGGACTGTTTCTAAAAAAGGAAGTTCTATTTTTTTTTCACAAACAGATAACCTTCATATGAATGAAAAGAAGAAGTAAATGAGAATTCTGCACCATAGTCTTGCCAGTTAACCTGAATTATGCAACCAACTATTCAAAGAAACATCCATCCAAGACAAGTGTGCCATGTAGCCGGGAAGTTGCAACAAGTCCTAACGAAATTCCAACAATCTGGACAACAAAGCAGAATGATAATATCGCCAATAAAAGCTACATCAGTTAAGGGTTATATCATGGTAACATGGGCACCAGGGCACCAGACAAAAGGAAGAATGAATCTGTGAAGGCCCTGGGGCACAGATGGAAGACTAAGGCAGTAATCCTCAGTGTATTGTCATAATCAACAAAACTTTCCAAAAAGCTGACAAATATAAGCAGGCCAGCTGAGCAAGTTATTCAAGTGATTGATTATCAAGGAATCTGCAGAAAGACTCCTTATTCACGACATTTCCCACACAATCGATCTATTGGGAAGAAGGCAAGGAAAGAATGCAGCATCCAGATGCCAGTAAACGTTTGAGTACAAGTCTATAGAGAGTCAAGAATTTTTTTCTTAACAACATTGTAAACGATATAAGACGAAAAGTGGCATCAGGTTGCAACATTCTATCCAAAGGCAGCTTGAGCGTAGATTCATGAGAGCCTGTAATTGAATGGCAGTAGACCAAGAGGGTTGAAGCCAGATAGGATGGAAGACTGAAACTGAAACGCTTACCCTTAGCCGGCCGAGTGCTGCTAATGGAAAGGCTGTCATCATAAATTCACTGAATAAACAGAATTAGAAGAAAAGAACCCAGGAGGCAATCTCAAACAAGGGAGATGACTCCAAATGTTGGGATTCTGACCACGAGTAAGGAGGTCATCACGAAACAATCGCCCCCGAAGTTAAACCTCCGTCCGAGTCCAAGTGGAATCGAGAGTCGGAACCGCAAACAGGCCCGGGAGAAAATTCTTGTGAAATTTCCATTTTTGATGTGTGGCCACGCTGACCACATGTACTCCTAGAACTATGAGGCTCCACGTAGTGGAGCCTCATAGGCAGATTACCCCGCTAAACTGTTTGCTATACAAAACACCAACTAAGTACAAAAACGTCCATCCCAACCAAGCTTTTTCCCACAGAACCGCTGCACAGTTTGCCCCTAAACTCCGTACAATACCTCACGACATACTCACGTTATGTGCACCAGACATCGGTGGATTCTGTCGGTTTTTCGGCAAAAATGATGAAAAATATGCCCTTTCCGCACTGAGCCAACCTGACACTTGAAACGTGCACGCGCGCATAATGATCGCAGTCATTTTCGGTTCGATCGCTCGGATGAGCGCGCTGCGGGGGGCATGGTAGGAGCGGAACGATAATATGCGCATGCGTACAAGTGCAAGTACGTACCCTCCACGGCGCGCTCTGAGTGATCGAACTGAAAATGACTGCAATCATTCTGCGCGCGTGCACGTTTCAAGTGTCAGGTTGGCTCAGTGCGGAAAGGGCATATTTTTCATCATTTTTGCCGAAAAAACCGACAGAATCCACCGATGTTTGTTTGGTGCACATAACGTAAGTATGTCATGAGGTATTGTATGGAGTTTAGGGGCAAACTGTGCAGCGGTTCTGTGGGAAAAAGCTTGGTTGGGATGGACGTTTTTGTACTTAGCTGGTGTTTTGTATAGTAAACAGTTTAGCGGGGTAATCTGCCTATGTAGATGAATAATGCATCGTGTGGCAGTACCATCCTTGTTAAGTTTCCAAATTTCCAAATTCAGTTCAGTTCATTTATTTCCACAGTGTTCACAAATAAATAAATGTACAAGTAATCAAACCTTATTATTTTGTAAGTCAGAATATAATAACAAATATATATGCAAACGTCCACTATGGTGTTGAAGGCAATGGAGAAAATCTGGGGGCTCGCTCAAAAAGCTTGATCATGGTGTGTACTAGACCCGTGAACGTGGCGTTGTATACAATGCCACGCTCCAGTAACATTTCGAACCTTATGAAATCGATCCACGGTACATCATTTCGTATGCAGCTTGAGTACTCACCTAGAAATATTGGTGCACCTATCAGTGCATTCAGGATGTGTCATTTGGAAGAAATTTGCCAAAAATGAAGACCCCTACAACGTGTAGAAAATAGATTTTAACGTTAACTGGACAAGTACCCAGGGTCATTTGCATGCCAAATTATTGGAGCACTCCGAGCTACCCGTCTGCTTCATGAAACATCATGGTTGTCGCTTGGACAGATTGACGGCTGTTTCATGTCACATCCTAGATCCTGTGGGGAGGACGGCTTCTACATCCTTTTTGTCCATAAAAAGACCTATGGATTGTCTTTGTGATGAACTTAATTGACATTCCAAGTTCACCAACAAGATCACCAAGGATCTTTTTCACGCCTGGCCTTTTTACTTACTTTTTTTCTTCTGATTTTAGTAGCAGGTGTAAGGTAGAGCATGAAGAGCAAATGTTAAATTTTGTCAATGTAATGGCACAAGAGGTCGAAAGTGTAATGACTAATGACTGCAATTTTTTAAACTAAATCATAAACAATATGAAAAGAATATTCTTTTATGATGAGTTAAATTTGACTTATTTTTGTTGTTATTTATTTATTTTTTTTGAAAAAAAAAAAAAATTAAGCACAAGAACTAAATGTTCAAAAGTAAGGTGTAACTTTGCTTTGCAGTTTTTGCTTAGGAATTCCTTGTATTTATAAAGTAGGTATAAATTGTTATTAGTTCATAAAAATAAAAATAAGATTTCCTCTTTCGGTCTCCCAAAATATTTTCGGGTCTCAGTGAGTAGTGCGCCCGCGTGTGTGGTGCTGTGATAGGACTGGAAACTTGTCTAAAATGATGTCTATTTTAGCTGCGACAGAAAACAGCCATCAAATCATACAAAACCAGACGGTATAGAACAATGCGCATGCGTCAGTTGGGGAAAACTGGTAGCCGAATAGTTACTTCCAATTTACACGTAAAGGGCACAGCGTACCTTGTGCCACTACCTGCTTACTATTAAAACAAGGTTTTCTTACCCATCTTTTTTGCTCATGTGTTCACACAGTCTCATTTTGGGGTTCAGTGGTTTTGTGGATCAAGGACAAAACCAAATTTACCATTACTCTAGATAATGAAATGTGTTTGTTTGGCAAAGCTGACTTTGAGTACAAAGTTATCAACTTAATTTTATTAATTTTCCATATTTATAAAATGAAAATGATTGAGAAAGTGCCCTCTTTCCTAGTTCTAAAAAAGGATTTTAAGAACTACTACTCCGTAGAAAAATATATGTATATTTGTAATGATAATGTTGGGAAATTTTACTGTAAATGGGATTCCTTTTCTGCACTTTTCCAAGAGTAATTGTTTGAATTGCCATGTTTTGGGTTTTTATGAACTCCTATTTAAATGTGCTTATGTTTAAATATGATTTGTTTATATCAGTGATGCAGGCGGAAGGGTCCAGTAAATTAGACACCTACGAAATCTGTATGGCCGCCGAAAAAGTATCAGGCTACAGCACCCTGGAAGGAGCACAGCTCATTAGGGGATTATGGCGCATCTACCCCACCAATAAGGAGGCCAGAATTACCCTACTACTACTAGCAAACGGTATCTCCCTTCGACAGCAACACATACGACTCCTAGACAACAACCCCTACCTGTCAGAAGATAATCAGTCTACCAACGTCATCATATCCGATCTACCCCTATCAGTCTCCAATGAAGATATTGCACCCAAATTGGAACGGAACGGAGCCAAGCTTCTGTGCTCCGTAAAAACGGAATGTGCAAGAGAATTTAACGGAAGACTTATACCCGTTTCAAGACTGGTAGGCGTTTTGTGTACACGGCTATCCCTGCCAAACCACTTCCTAACAAACTTAAAATATCAAGCTTCCTGGCATCCATATACCAAAAGATTAAAGAACAGAAGGATCGTCTCAAGAATCACATCTGCCTCAACTGTTTCGAACTTGGCCACCATGATGGGATGTGCACGAATCCCCCGAAATGCCTCCATTGCCACCAATCCGGGCATAGACTGGGGGACCCCTGTTGTCCGGCATTTTCAAAAGGTTACCCTGTATTCAGACCCTCCATCCTGGAACAAGGTTCAGCACCTGGGACTCCGTCAGCTATTCTGCCGAGTAAATCCCATTCAAAGGAACACTTGTCACAGACAGCTGACGACAATGAAGTCAACATACCAAACATGGTTGACACATCACCGAACACAGCTGATGCAATCCGGGTCATTGAATCAACGTTTCAAAGTCACATAGAGCGACAACCACTTACAGCTCATCCAGCCGAGACCACCAACACTCCCAAACGACCTCGACCAAGCCCCACAACCCTGATCGAGAAAACAGACGACAGAACAAGACAAACAAGACGCAGGAAATGCAGGAAGCGTCACAGCAAGCAGCAAACATCGACACACCAAGAC